GTTCATATCCTCTGCCCATTTTTTAATCAGGTTATTTGCTTTTTGGGTGTTGAGGTGTGTGAGTTCTTGGTATATATTTTGGGTGTTAACCCCTTGTTGGATATGTCATTTACAGATACATTCTCAGAGAAGTCATTTTTGTGGGGAAACTTTATCTAAGGCTTGTGATTAGAATTCTGGGAAACCAAAAGGTCATATATTGGTCATATATCGGCTTAGCTAACATGTATTCTTTGCTTTCTGGGATGGCTTGTAAGGAGACAGTAGTCAGACACTGCATGCAATGCTTTATTTAATCCTTATGACAGCCTCTAAAGTAGATACCATCCTTTATTTTTACATTTAATTTAATGTATTCCTATATATTCTGTATTTTCTTTCTGTGTTTCTATAATTAGAATATTTCTATATATTTTTCTGTATTTTCTGTGTATTGGATATATATGTGTATATAATTTCAAGTATATTTATAGCTTAACTTGTTCCACAAAAAAATTTGAAGAAATGTTTAGAAAATACATTTTATAAATGATATAAAATCAAAACCCTAGAAAGTAAAAATTAGAATAGAAAGTTATTATTACATAGTTTGAGAGGAAAAAAATTGATCAAGATGTGGCCAGCTAAAAAAAGTGGTAACACAGTTAATGTTACATAGGTCTTAACAGTGAAAGAAAAAAAATTCCTTAGTTGAAGAAAAGCTTTTGGAAGCATGTAATTCCAAATGAAAATTTTCTTTCTCTCATGTATCGTTTAGTGTAAGTCAGTGGTGTAATGCCAAAACAAAACTTGGTGAAAGCAGTTCTGTAGGGGATAAGACCATGTGACCCATATATTGCCCAGCTTTCTGACAGTCTGGCAAAATTCTGGCATAAAGCCTAGAATAGAATGCTGAGTTCCACAGAGAGGTCAAGTCAGATAAGGACAGAAAAGTTTCCTTTGGATTTAGGAATTAAGGACCATTGCAGGCCTCAAGCAGTTCAATACAACATTGGGGGACAGAAACCAAACTGGTGAAGCAAGGACTGCAAGAGAAATAAAGAAGTAGAGACACCTAGTGTGGAGTTGATTATGGAACATATAGAGGTGGTGGGTGCTAAATTGTCAAGGGGGAGTTAAAGGGAGTTTTGAGATGGGAAAGATCTGAGCAACATAGCTGGCAGAGAAGAGGCTGAAGCATGAGAGGGAGGGCTGATTCTGCAAGCACCGCAAGGATGCAGGCCAGGCTGGTGGTGTCCACAAAAAGACCTGACCAGAAAAATCCACAAAAATTTTGACAAGACCTAGAAAGCATGGCTGACTCAGAGACAGAGAATGAGTTAGTGAGAGCGTGTGTGTGTGTGTGTGTGTGTGTGTGTGTGTGTCTCTCTCTCAAGTAAGAGAAACATGGAAGCAGGAGGCAGAGCCGAATGGGCACACCTCAGGGGCCTTTGTGTTAGAGGCCAGGACTCTGCATCCTCCCACTTGACCAGTCAGCAGGGCCAGGAAGTGCTTGGGCCAGTTTTTCTCTCTTCCAGCCCCGGTACCCCCAGGTGTCAGGATCACTCTGCCTTACTGTTCCTAAGCTTTACTTTTTTCACCAAGAGGAGAGAATAATACAGGAAGGATCTGGTCTTCAGAGGACTGACTGCTCTTCCAAGCCCATTCAGTTGGTTAGTAATGGATTAGAGACTAGAGTCAGGTTTCTTTATATCCCATCGAGTGCTGTTTAGTTAAAGGTGATAGCCAAAGGTCCAGATAGAAATCCTTTACACAGTGACACTGGGAATTGCATACATGGACTTGGAAGACCTCTGTATTGAGACAGCTGAAGTAAAAAGGCTAATGAATGGAGTGGTTACAGAGAAAGGATGTGCTCATAGGGGCTGTTGGAGAAGCTCTCCAGAGACAGGGAAAGAGACTAAGAAAGGCAGGAGCCAAGGGGGAAAAGAGACTTGTGAAGGAGGAATATGAACTTCATATTGTCAAATGCCAGAGAAACTGAGGTTGAGAGCAAGGGGAAGACTTTCAGGTTGGCTGCTGTAGTTCTTGATGATTGGTGCTTGTGGATCAAGCAAGAGGAACCACAAAGGGCTAAGGAGGGAGCCGAGTCCTTTTTAGTAAGGACAGGTTCATAAAATAAGAGAGCAAAGCCATATACAAGTGTTTATAAATTATATGTGTAATATGATCTCATCTATATAAAAAATACATATTTATAAGGGGAAGTAAAACACACCACTAGAGTACTCATGATTAGTTTTAGGTATAGGAGTTATGAATAACTTTTTTTTTTAGCTTTTTATGTGTTTCATTTTTAAGATTTATTTAAATAAGCGAATATACTTTGATAATCTGAAAAAAGATTGTGTCCCAGAAGTAAACGTAAACCCATTTTTAGTGGCATAGGTCCACAAAAAGATTTGACAGAACCTAGGAAGTATGGCAGACTGAAGTAAGGAGAGAGGCAGAGAATATGAGTGTGAGTGTGCGTGTGTGTATCTAGAGCTAAGAGAAACAGTGAAAGCAGGAGGCAGAGCCGAATCCATAGAGGAAGGGAGGAGATGGATCAGAACTGCTAACAGAGTGACCCAGCTAGGAGGGCACCATCCCCAGGGAGTGGAGAGAGTGCCCTGGTGTACAGCCTATTAGGTTAGTTACTGATTCAGAAGAGAGACTCCCTTCTCTAGGAGGAAGTTAGGTAAAGGGATCCAACTGCTTGAGGGGATGCACTGAGATTTCTAAGCAGTATATGAGAGAGAGGCTGGTGACTTGCTACTTTGTGTTTGATTTTTCTTTGTAAGAATAGAAACTACTACTTTTAAGACTGAGTGGAGGCTGATGATCATGGACATTATGACATGTGTTTTTCACAGTGAGAGAAAACACTGTCAGCTCAACTCCCTGGCAACACAATTAGTTTCAATTTGTACTCCTTCATACCACTTCTTTTTCTACTTGGTTTATAATTCTGTAGCTTCTAGGTTAGACTTGATTATTTACAAACAATTTCTAATATTTTAGGTTCTCAAATTCACAATAGAGAGGAGATGGATTTTCTGTGTTCTTCAAATTGTTGTATACTATAGAACCCCATGGAGTGTAGAGATTAAATGTTTTCCTCCACCAATTTTAATACTGAAGCTATCTAAATAGCCCAGGATTATGTGGTGAGTCTCTGGCAGGGCTAGCATTACCATTTATAGCTGGTACGTTTTTGTTCTTTGTCCTTGGATACTTTAACCAAGAATGTCACTAAGGTGGGTGGGGCTTTCTCTGTGTTCCCTAACTCTGTCATTTCGAGTTACCCTCATCTTTGTTGGGATACTAATTTTGTGACCTCATGGCCTGGAAAACTTTTTTTAAAATGTGTGAAGGATAATGGTATAAAGTAGGTCATACTTTTGGGTAACAAAGGTATAAAACTATGCTGTTCAATGCAGTAGCCCTAAAGCCACATGTCAGTGTGACTAGTTCACATTGGTTTGTAGGGTTCTCTAAACCTACCTGTTTTACCTTGAACTGCTGTACCTATTCTGTCCCTTATCTTAGACAATAACTCCTAGAATGCAGGACCAGGCCTTGCCTATCCCTCTGTAGTCTTTATAGTGCCTTGCAGGTGGTCCTGGCTTAAAGGAGCCTTCTCTGACTGCTAGCATGGATAGTGTTAAGGTACCCAGACAGAGGAGAAAATTCTCTAATAGTAGTAGCAAAAGCTTTGAGACTAGGGCAAGAATATAAAACACTTTACATTTTAATTTTGAATTCACCCTGTATGTACTTGTGGTTTTTGTTCAGTCAAATTATTGTTGTGAATTAGATGAATGTTATTCTTAGGTAACATAACTGAGTACTCATAAGACTCAGGAGCCAGAAACCATGAATTAGCTGTTTTTTTGTTTTCCTACTATATATTCGGTTAGCATTTATTTGAGTACTTACTAATTTCTTACTAACCTAGGCATAATGCTCAAGAGTAAAAACTCGTTATATGTGGCTGCTGTCCTCAAGGAGTTCATGGTCTCACAGAGAAGAGAAATACATGACTGTCAAGTGGGTGCTACAACACGGTGGGGGGAGATAGTGCTGTGTGGGATAGCTACAAGCAGGGCCATCAGATTCTGGATCCAAATTCTAATTTTGGCTCCCCCAAAACAGTGGCAATGAAAAAAAGCTGATCTAAAATTTAGCTAAAAACAGCAAGGCCCTCTGCCAGTGTTTTAATAAATGGAGGTAGGAAATGTCTAAGATTTAAACTAGTTTTGTTAATAATTCTTTAATATCAAATAATCCAGAGTTGAATCCAGTTGTCTCATGTCATGATTTTGTTGATTTGAATCAGGATCCAGAGAAAATTTGTTATGTTGTGAGTGATTGCTGCATTTCTTAAGTTTCTGATGTCTGTATCAGGGTTTCTCAACCTCAGCACTGTTAACATTTGGGGCCTGGTAATTCTTTTTTGTGGAGGACTGACCTGTGCATAGCAGGACATTTAGTAACATCTCTGGCCACTACCCACCAAAGGCTAGTAGCACACCCACCCCAGTAGTGACAACCAGAAATGTCTCCAGGCCTTGCCAAATGTCCACTAAGCAGAGTCACCCCAGGTTGAGAGCAACCACTGTGTAGATTTTTCTCCCTCTGTCCTTCCCATGTTTTTTTCTAGTGATTTATTTGCAAGAACCTGGGTAGTTAACCCTGTAGTTTCCTTCAATCTGGAGTTCACTAATTTCATCTCTATAGTGTAATTTAAAATCCTCTGTCACCAATTTCATGTTAATTGGTAGTTGAATCTAGAGGCTTGATTAGTTTCAGATTTTTATTGTTTTGTTTGACAAGACTGTTTCATAGGTGGTGTTTTGTTCTTGCATCAGGAGGCACATGATACCAGTTGTGTCTTTTTGTAGTATTAACCATGAATACCTATTTTATTCATCAGGGGTCTTTTTTATTTTAAAATATGTATGTTTTTGTTTAGACAAACTATTTTACATAAAAATCTGTGTTCTTCCTTAATAAAGGAAGGGGAAATGGAAGGTGAGGCAGTTGAAGCCATTGTGGAGGAGTCTGAAACTTTCATTAAAGGAAAGGAGAGAAAGACTTACCAGAGACGCCGGGAAGGGGGCCAGGAAGAGGATGCTTGCCACCTACCCCAGAACCAGACTGATGGGGGTGAGGTGGTTCAGGATGTCAATAGCAGTGTACAGATGGTGATGATGGAACAACTGGATCCTACTCTTCTTCAGATGAAGACTGAAGTAATGGAGGGTACAGTCGCCCCAGAAGCAGAGGCTGCTGTGGACGATACCCAGATCATAACCTTGCAGGTTGTAAATATGGAGGAACAGCCCATAAACATAGGAGAGCTTCAGCTTGTTCAAGTACCAGTTCCTGTGACTGTACCTGTTGCTACCACTTCAGTAGAAGAACTTCAGGGGGCTTATGAAAATGAAGTGTCTAAAGAGGGCCTTGCAGAAAGTGAACCCATGATATGTCACACCTTACCTTTGCCTGAAGGGTTTCAAGTGGTGAAAGTGGGGGCCAATGGAGAGGTGGAGACCCTAGAGCAAGGGGAACTCCCCCCTCAGGAGGATCCTAGTTGGCAAAAAGACCCAGACTATCAGCCACCAGCCAAAAAAACAAAGAAAACCAAAAAGAGCAAACTGCGTTACACAGAGGAGGGCAAAGATGTGGATGTATCTGTCTACGATTTTGAGGAAGAGCAGCAGGAGGGTCTCCTGTCGGAGGTTAATGCAGAGAAAGTGGTTGGTAACATGAAGCCTCCAAAACCAACAAAAATTAAAAAGAAAGGTAAAATTAATTTACCCGTTATACTCTCATAAAACCATTTTGGGTTTAAAGCATATAACACAAGGCATATGAAAGTTAATTTTTAAATTATTTTATGCCAAATGGCTTTTTTTTTTTTAGGATCATGAGGTGGGTAGCAGTCTTTTTAGCCAGCCTAAAAGTTTTTCCAGATTGAGTACTTTCAAGTCCTGAAGAGAAAGAAGTAAATCTGTTAGTGGCATGAGATAGTCATGGTTTAATATGTCTTAGATTGGGTTTAGTTATGAAAGGCTGAAAAATAAATATTTTGGTAAAAATTTAAGGTTCGGTTAAGGTTAGGATTAATCTGAACACTTTGAAACCCTACAACAAGTAAGTGTTTTATTTTGCATATAGGTGTAAAGAAGACATTCCAGTGTGAGCTTTGCAGTTACACGTGTCCACGGCGTTCAAATTTGGATCGTCACATGAAAAGTCACACTGATGAGAGACCACATAAGTGCCATCTCTGTGGCAGGGCGTTCAGAACAGTCACTCTCCTGAGGAATCACCTCAACACACACACAGGTGCTGGATAGGAGTGCTGGGGGCCAAAGCATAGCAAATATTAAAACTTGGGTTTTATGTCATCCCAGCAGGTTCCCACAGGAAGTTAAAGAAGGAAGATTTTTATTCTTAAGGTGCCCTTTTTGTAATCTTGATTTATTGTAAGCAGGTGGACTTAATTACAGGCAATGTAAAGAAAATTTAATGGACTAATATAAAGATTGTGATCCAGAAAAAGATTATCTATGGTAGTTAACCTGTAATATTTCCTGAAGACATCACCAGTGTGTCGCTAAGGTTTTAACAGTAACAAAAAATGACCCCAAAAGTTCCATGCTGCAATTACCAGGCATTTTGAGGAAGAACATACATTTCAATTGAACATTGGAGAACATGTATAAAAACCATGGTTTCTGGTTGTTTCACCTCAAGGAAGGTAATTCATATCTCAGAATGGAAAGTTTAAGGCACCATTCTAGCAGTCCAAACATTTATTCATTTGCACTTTTTTCTGTACATACTTTAACATTCCAGTATTAACTTCAGGCTCTCTTCTGGGCTCATTATACCTTCAGTGTTGGCACTTGATTGCAAGTGCCTGTAGAAACTTCTCTCTCCCAGTTCTTCATGCACAATAGCTTTCCTCTATCCAGATTCTCCACTTTTTATATGATGATTTTTGTTTTGGGTTTTACATGCTGGCTGTCCAATGAGCATGATCAAGTGGGGGTTGGCCTATAAGCAGTATGCTCTGCATTAGTATATTCTTTACTGATGTGACATGGTCATTTTTCACCATTTCCCTACTTTTTATTCAGACATTTGATAATGTATTTTATTTGGTAGTTTGAAGACACTAAGGGGCATATGACTAGACAAAAGCAGCTGGCCCCATGATAGTCCTTCCTAAGATGGGAGTGCCTTGATGCGGGCAGCATGTGTCCCAATCTAGTCCTCAACTTTAAATGTAAGTTCAGTCTGTCTGGTTACTCAGAGCTGATTTGGCAGGAGTAATTCATATACTAAACTAGACCATCAGGGGTCAGATGTATATCAGAAAATGACTTTATGGTGAGGAATGCACCTTTTCATTTTCTAGCTACAGTTGTATTCCAGGAGATGCCCTTTCCTATGTCAAGGTGCTGTAACAATTGAAGGGTGACTTGGTGAGCATGGACATGGTGACTTTGAGCCCAGTGAAAATCCCTGTCCCACAACAGTGTCCATTTCTTTCCTAATTGCCATGTATGGCTGCCAGAGGCAGGCCTCCTTGAGTCCCCTAGTAGTACTGGGTAAACATTGGGAAGCCTTGGTTTTCAGCTTACCTTGTTTATACAGAAATGGATGCTGCTTTTCTTCTCTTGTTAATTATTGTTTTACTTACCCGTTTGTACCACCAGACTATACATTTTTCACAGATCAGAGCTCTGTCCTTCATTCCTACAATCCTCAGTGGTGCTAATGAAGCCCATTGAGCAAATGAACATTCCTTGGGATGTTTTAGTTACTGTCATACTCCCAGTCACAGTTCCCTCTCCCGGATTCTCTCTGCCTCTGAGAGAATCATTTCAGTAGATGGTTGGTCTTATTCATTACGTTGTGATTCTTCTAAGAGGTAGCCTTCCATTGGTTTTGGTGTTTGGGATTACCATGCTGTCACCCTTTACCTGTATCCCACAATCACAGGTAGTCCCTACTTTCCAAATAATAGTCCATGGAAGTAGCACTCTGTTCTGCTGTCAGCTTTATTTCCTTATTATCGCTAGTACCTGGGTATATTTCCAGTGCAGTATTCAGAATATAAAATAGCTAGAGAAGATCCACTAATCAGTTATGTTATGGGGCTACTATTTGAGGACTTGTTTGAAATGTAAAGGGCTTACTGGTTTGTTAAAATGTTTAAATATTACATGAATTGGTACTCAGATCACAGAATAATAGATGTGGATGTTTGAGAGTGATCTGTTTAAATCACATAAAAGGCAATACCACTTTGTAAAGCCTTTGATGACTATCTAGAATTCCTTATCAAAACAAATTTATACAGAAAACAAGCTATTGTGTTTGTATTTTTTTTCAAAAGGAAAAAAATGTGTCAGAATACGGGTGGCCCAACAGCCCAATGTTTATAGTCATAATACAATAAAATTGGATGTGCAAAAGGATCTCGAGTTAAATATATTCATTTGTGACCTGTACTTGACAAAACGTTAAAGTTTAAAAAACTGTTCTGTACTTTTTAACAAGGGTGTTTCTATTAATTTTTCATCTATAGTGACCAGAATACTCACAAAATAGGGATTAATTAAAGACAACATACTCAGATGAATAATTCAGAGAAACTGAACGTGTCTTGTGTTTCTAATATTCTGGGGTTAGTGTTGTAAAGTCAGCCAGGCCTTCCCACACTTTTGAAGCTACTCTCAAGCTAGTGCAGCGTTGATGAGATGACCAGGGTTCAACCCATGTAGCAGTTCTCTGTCACACATTGAACTCTGTTATTAACTATACCCTTGATCTTGTATTCTGTTATACCCTCCTTTCGCTAGGTACTCGTCCTCATAAGTGCCCAGACTGTGACATGGCCTTTGTGACTAGTGGAGAACTGGTGCGGCATCGTCGTTACAAACACACCCATGAGAAGCCATTTAAGTGTTCCATGTGCGATTATGCCAGCGTAGAAGTGAGTGTTCAGCTTCTTGTTGGTTCCTCTCTTAAGACCATAATTCTAGTATGAGGATATTAACTACCCATACTGATTTAAGATAAGATAGAAAATCTTCCTAGATTATTAACATTCCCACTATCCCCAACACCAAAAATTCCTTAGGAATGAACTTAACAAAAAATATCTGATACCTATGTGAAAACTTCCTAGACTTTTCCGAAGTCTGTTAATAAGTGAAGAGATATAACAAGTTGATTCTGAATTTTAACTGGAAGAATAAATGAATGATTGGCTAAGAAAATTTTGAAAAAAGAATGAGGGGCTTGTGCTATTGGATGTTGTAAAACTTACAGTAAATGAAGACACTGTGACATTAGAGCAAGAATAAACAGATACCTCACTGGGACAGAATACATCTTTGTGCATATGTGATAAGAGGGCAGATCTTGGAAAGAGAATTTTTCAGTAATGCTATTGGGACCATGTTTAACCACTGAGTGAAAATTTGCCAGGTAGCACTTAAAGTGCAGGGGTTATTTTATTTTTGTTAAAATAGGAAACACTTTTTAAAATTGGAAATGAAGCAGTAATGAGTGGTTAAGCCCTTCTTAGAAGCAAGTTTGAAAGTCACTGTTTGTTGGATAGGTGGCCAGCAGAAGACAAAAAAATGTAGAAGACAAAAAAACCAGTGGGGAAGGTAAATGATTGATAGGCCCCTAAGCACGGCCTGTCTGGGAGGCGCTAGTGATAGTAAGAGAGGCCAAGGGGAATAAAGTATGTGCCTATTAACTTGGATTTGAAATTTGGAAGAAAATTGATTCATAGATAAGCATGGATTATTTTAAAACTATTATGGAAAATTTCAAACATGCATAGAAATAAGTGGAATAGTATATCACCCCTGTGTACCTATAACACCCAACTTAAATAGTTACTAATAACCACCCTTGAACTCATCTGTGCCCTTATCCACTGACCCTCTTCTCTTGGATTATGATATGGATTTAAGAAACAAAAAATTAGAAATTATGAAGAGAAATACTACCTTTTAACTTTTTTCTGTATTCTGAACTTTAGTGCCAAAAGCTAAACTTTTATGCCTAACCTACAGTGCTCACGTTACAGTCCAGGTTAACAGAAGCGTAAGAGGTTTGATTGCTTTCATATTTCAGGTCAGCAAATTAAAACGTCACATTCGCTCTCATACTGGAGAGCGCCCATTCCAGTGCAGCTTGTGCAGTTATGCCAGCAGGGACACATACAAGCTGAAAAGGCACATGCGAACCCATTCAGGTAGGACTGCTTCCCTCCTTGTGTTAGTAATGAGCTGGTTTTCAGTGGATCCCATGGGGCCCTGTGAGCCACCACATGCCCCTATTGCTCATCTGAATGGAAGCTGGCATGAAGGTATATAATTGATAAAGTGCTTCTCTGGCAGATCTTCTGAATTCATTGTTCTGAATATAGTTTGTGAGAAGGACAGCTTTTACTGTTAGAAGTCTTGGGTAGATGGCCTAACCCAACTCATGCAGTTTTCCTAAGTACTGTCTTTTCCTAAAAAAGAAAAACTTGTAGATCCCCCTGTCATCCCATCCACTCTCCTCCAAAGGTAAGCATGGCTCTGAGAACTCTTCTTTCTCATGTGAACGACTCTGCCAGAGCCGGCTGAGCAGACATGGTGATGGCAGTTTAGGAGTTGTTTGCCATCACCAAAGATCAGCATGAATTGGGCAGCAGGCCTGAGCCTCGGCCTTCCTGAGTAGCACCTGCAGATTCTCTGTGGCTTAGCATATCTGCCACCTAACTTACCCACTGGTTAAATGATAATATTTATTCATTTCATCTAATTTGTTCATTCTATATTTTCTTTTAAGGGGAGAAACCTTATGAATGTTACATTTGTCATGCACGGTTTACCCAAAGTGGTACCATGAAGATGCACATTTTACAAAAGCACACAGAAAATGTGGCCAAATTTCACTGTCCCCACTGTGATACTGTCATAGCCCGAAAAAGTGATTTGGGTAAGTAAATTAACTAGTGGCAAATGAAAAAATATTTTGAAGGATTTGTGAAAATAGGAAGATCATAAGTAACTTCTTTTCCTGACTTGTATGTTTTCTGTGTGTGAATGTTCTACCACTTAATAAAAGCCGTTGTTTAGCTGCTGTTTTTCTCTATCCCTTCGTTCTCTTACTGCAGTCAGGCCACAAGATTTTTCCCTGAATATAGGTCATCTATAAGTTAACAGGAGCTATAATGAGAGGAAACAGTATACCTTTAATTAGTTACCTTCATTGGTAACTTCCAAGTAGGGAAGTGACATGTTATGATTCAAACTAAGGTCAGGCAACTTCAGTTTTTTCAGAATGTCTGTACTTTCTCTAGGTAATTGGACTGTTTTATTGGTTTGGTGATAACTACATGTCTGTGCATAATTAAACTAGAGTTTATGTAGAGGCAAAGTTCAGCAGTAGAAATTTTAGTCTGACCAAACTTTTTTTTTTTCATAACTTGTTTTCTTAAAGTTATGGTTACCTGATTTCTCCTTTGTTTTTCTTCTTTAAAAAAGGTAAAAAATATTGCCACAGTTTGTTCTCTGTTCAAAATGCATTGCTCCCTGAATATTATAAACACTTTTACATTTAGATAAATTGCTATACTTTACAAATTATCTCTTAACTTTTTACTTTTTTACTCATTTGATCTTCACAACACCCATACTAAGTCACTGAGGCACATGTATTCTAGCTTTATAGATGATAAACCTGAGGCTCAGATAGGCGTCTTGACCAGAGCCACATAACAGCTTATGAGTAGCAAAACTGGTTTGGAGTCCTCTCTGGTGCTCTAGAGCTATTTCCCACACTGGGGATATGTAAGCACCCACCCGGTCATACCAGGAGCATACTGAGCCACAGCATAAACACGGCCTGCCTTGCCGCAACACTGGTTTCACTCAAAAGGTTTTGAGTAAAATTATGCAATTAAGTTGGTGTCTGAAAAATTGTTTATATTAATAATGACCACGTTGAACAAAATGCAGGCAAACATTTTTAAGATGAAATCATGAATTTGAAGTAAAGGACTTTGTGCTCCACTTAAGACCCCTGGGTCACGTGTTCATCTTACTCTGCCGTTAAGAGTTCTTTGTTAGAAAGGTTTAAGACGCACTTAAATGAAAGAGTATTACTATTCTTTTCATATAGAAACTAAAGTTCAACTAAATCTCTGGCCATGTGTGTGAGCTTTGAGGCCACTGTCTGGATTATTCACCTTTTTAAAATTATTCACTTTCTTGATGCAGATACCTTTGGTGTTTTATACTTGGCATAATTCCTCTTGGACGCTACATAATGAGCTCTTTATGAGGCCCTTAATGAGCAGCTGTCATGTAATAGTTATCTCCAGAAACCAATCCCAAAGAAATCTATGTTACTCTTAAAATCAGAACTTATTTCACTCTAATATGCAGTGATTAAAATTCATCACTTTGTGACACAAGAAAGCAGGGACTTTGGAAACAACCTGTTAGATTCAAGATTCACCTCCATATACTTAGTGTGCTAATCCTCTTTGTTTCTCAACTGATACGTAGGAATAATATCCACCTTCCAGGATGCTAAGTATTTAGTAAGTAAAAGATCTTTTATTGGTTGATCTCTATCTGAAGACCAGAAGGAGAAAGTTGAGGCCTAAAAATTACTTGAAATAATATCTTGGTATATAAAAGGCCTTCATGTAATGAACACGTGTAGAGAGTAAAAAGTGAGAGCCATCCCATTCTCTTACCTCATTTCCATTCCCCAGAATTGGCCCTCTTTAAGTTTAATGTGAATATTACCTTGATTGAAGCAGATTGGTAGTACCATAAATTCATGACCTCAAATGTAACCAAGCTCTCTCTGTGCTCCTGGGCAGTTGAGCTATTTGTTCTTGTCAGGTGTCTTCCTGTTCTCCTCAGTGAGTTTGTTCATTCATTCATTCCACAGTGCTGGGGTGCCTGCTGTGTGGGGGGTACTATACTGAGATAGAATTGGGTAAATCACTCCTACTTTCTTTAAACCTCTCATCTTCCTCCCCTTTTCTTTCTGCCTTTCTGTTCTCAGTAAGTGACCTCTTTTCCTACTTCAGAAAAAAATAAAGGCAACAGAAATCTCCCCAAATTTATACAGGTATAAAGCCACCTATATCTGCAGTCATCCTCTCTTTCCCCATCTGCTGCTAGAGAGTTGGCATCCCTCTTGTCTGTGGCCTGTCCCTTTTCCTTGACCCCACTCTCCTGTCTTGGCAGCTTTCACATCGTCCATACTGCTTCTTTACCTTCCTCTTCACTTTCCCACTCCTTGATCTCTCCCCTCAACTCCATACACGCTTACATCTCTGCTTATCTCCTTCCCAGCCTGTCCCCATGAAGAGTTACAGCCCTCTCAGTCTTCCCTTCCTTGGCTCCTAATTTCCCTCTCCTCCTGCTTACCCCCATCACTGTAAAGTGACTCTTACTAAGATCACTAATAACCCCATATTGTTGAATGTAGAAAGCATTTCACTGCCCATCTCCTTTGATCTCTTAGCAGTTTTCATAGTGGGCCGCCTCCTTAAAACACTTGGGCTTTTGTGGCACTACATTCTGTTGGCTTTCTTCTCTATTTCTTCTCAACGTTTTTTTTTTAACCCTTTTTCTTCTCACTGGCCTTAACTGTTAGATTCTTAAAGCAATACACACACTCTTTTTCATTCTTTACTTTTTCCTTGGTGATTTCATCAGCTCCATTGGTCTCTCTCAAATACTAACAACTCCTAAATTTATGGCCCTACTCCAGTTCTTTTCCTTTGAGTTAGGTTTATATAACTACCCATCTATCCCTTGGCATTCCTATCCCTACTTTGGTATCATTGATATTCCAAATTCAGTATGTCCAAAACTGAAGGCCTAAAGTCCCTCTGCCCCCTCTCCCCAAAAGCAAACCCACATAGCTTGGACTTCAGCCCTCCATCACTATCCCTTGTCTCAGTAAATGGCCCCGGTCTTCTCGGTTTTCCAAGCCAGAAACCTGAGATACTCACCTTCCTCTTCTTCACTCAGTCCGTCCCAAATCCTGTTATTCAACTTCCTGGATCTCTCTTTCATTCAGCCCTTTCCCTTCCTTCCATATCCGTTACCCTCGCCCTTGTCTGAGTCACCATCTTCTCTCAACTGTCCTGTTTCAGCAGTTTAACTGGTCTCACCGTGTCTGTTGTTATTCCTTCTTTTAATTCATTTTCCGCACAGCAGCCAGAGTAATCATCTTAAGAAGCAGAAAGAAATGCATTGTTAACATGTTGAGATGCTTGCTTGTGTTTTCACAAGGTAGCCTGGTTTGTCTTCTCCTTTCAGGTGTCCACTTGCGAAAGCAGCATTCCTATATCGAGCAAGGCAAGAAATGCCGATACTGCGATGCGGTGTTTCACGAGCGGTATGCCCTCATCCAGCATCAGAAGTCACACAAGAATGAGAAGCGGTTTAAGTGTGACCAGTGTGATTACGCCTGCAGACAGGTAGAGACCTTCGTAGTTACAAAGCAGTGAATGCCCCATTGGTGTCCGGTTTTATCAAAGGGTTTTTATATACCTTGAACAGTAGCTATTTTTCATAGTGGTCTTTTCAAACTGATTTATGAAGAATGTCACCAAAGGTCCTGTTGCTCGCTTATATCATCTCAGTCTCCAGCTGATGTCACAGCTTACCTCTCCTCCCTCTCTGGCAGACTGCTGGCTTCTCTCTTAAAACTGTGGGAATTAAGTCCAGGACTTGAGAGAAGGGAAAGTTCTGGTCCTAGGGCTTGCTGCTTGGAAGTGCCCTGGAGCAGCAACCCAGCAGGAGCGAGCATACCTGCGCTAGGATTTATGGAAGCAGTGAATATAACTATATCCTCTGGACATGCTGTTTTGAGGCTCGATCCTTAGGAGAGAAAGGCCTGTCAGCCACATGCACACAGATGGTGGCTGGGTAGCAGCCTTGTGACAGGCTCTGGCCCTTCCCCTGCCCCACTGTCTTTCAGGAGAGGCACATGATCATGCACAAGCGTACCCACACTGGGGAGAAGCCTTATGCCTGCAGCCACTGCGACAAGACCTTCCGTCAGAAACAGCTCCTTGACATGCACTTCAAACGCTATCATGACCCCAACTTTGTCCCTGCGGCCTTCGTGTGTTCTAAGTGTGGGAAAACATTTACACGCCGGGTAAGAGTCAGAACTTTAGTTCCTCTGTTACGGTTCTTAATACTGTATTCTTGATCTTCCACTGCGAAGCAGGCAGTGCTTCTACTGAGGTTATAAACAGGTGTGCTGTAATTTGGAAAAGGCCCGTCATCCCCACTTCAGGTTTTCTGTCCATGTGTGAATCCTTCTGCTGAAGGGGAACCTCAGGATCTTTGAAGATCTATCCTGGATCTTCCTTTGGGGCTTATCGGTCAGGCCTCACAGGACAGGGAGCTGATCTGCTCTTCCCCTGCTCCTCCTGTCTGCAAGCCGTTAAGCCCTGTGCTCAGAGGACCCAGCCTCTTCTGAAGGACCCTCCTCTCTCCTTTGCCCCTTCTTCCCTCTTCTCTCCCTCCAGATGTAAGACCATTTGCCCTGAATGAAGAGAGCATGTTCAGGACATACTTAGCAGATACTAGAACATCCAGTATGGATACCCCAAATGTTTATTTTATTAAACTGAAGGAACTTCCAGTTCTGATCTTAACTTTTTTAGTAAAGTGAAAGAGGGTTTTGTTCCTTTTGATAGAATACCATGGCAAGACATGCTGATAACTGTGCTGGTCCAGATGGTGTAGAAGGGGAGAATGGAGGAGAAACCAAGAAGAGTAAACGGGGAAGGAAAAGAAAGATGCGGTCTAAAAAAGAAGACTCCTCTGACAGTGGTAAGGGGCTTGTTTCTTGGAGTTATACACGGCAGATTTTAGTGCCCAGTTTCCAGGATATTTATGTTTGAATATGCTGGGACACACAGGCCAGTCGCTCTTCTTTTAATGTGTGTCTGTATTTATAACAGTAGTTAATTTGTTCCTGGGGAAGATTTTCTTTTCTTTCTTTTTTTTTCTAATGGCATCTGACTGCTTGATAGTATCTTTTATATTATGTTCAGTTAAAGCCAATGCAAAAATAACATCTTAGTTTACTCAGATTGGTGATATTCTAAGGCCAGCAGAGTTTCTTTTCTATATTCATAACTTTTACATTTAGGAAGCTGGTCTAGATTTGAGCAATGAATCTAATGGACATGAAGAAGGTTGCTTAAGCATCTTGACCAACTTCTGATTTGACTGCCTGTGTCAGCCTAGCGTTGAGAGATATGTTGATCAAATCCATGAAGGTCAGCCTTTCTCTTCCTACATTAATCTCTCCATTTATAATTTAAAACTTCACTTATTTTCCTACATTGATGCTCTTTGGGTAGTTTTTGCCTTTCTTGTCGTGAGTTGCAGACGGAAGGTATGCTTAAGGTGCTAGACTCATAAAGAGGAAGGGAGAAGCAAGAGTGTTGGTGGCGTAGGAGTCTCACATTTGCTTATTACTTGTTTCAAAGCTTTTGGTTCTATAATGTGGATACTTGGGCTACTGGCACCCAGTTGAGAAGGCACATCTGTGACTAGTTTAAGCTTTTTACAGAAGAGGATGTAGAGGGGTTTTGTTTTGGGGAATGCGCTTCCCAGAAGCTCATCAGACTGGAGAGGTTATAGATGGGGCTTATGTAATTCTAAATCTTCCTTGTTTTGTCATCTTCATTGCTTGTTACAGAAATAGTGGAAAGGAAATTAAATTATTGAAAATAAAATGTATAGCGAACTTCAGCCACTGTATTGGTTTTATTATAAAACTTGCTCATGAAAAGACTAGATTTTTTTATATTTAGATCTTTTATTTTTTGTTTATTTTAACAAAGTCTTCACTTTCCTATTCAGAATTTTAACCTTTTTAGGGAGAATATCCACTCAGTAAGCATAAGAGTAATTTATTTTCCTGCATTTTTTAGCGGAAACTCTATTTTAAGCATTATCTTCTTCAGTGACCAGGTTTTAAGTAAATGCTTCCTTTACAATGTCATTTTGCTTAATTTTTATTAAAGCATACCACTCTCTGCTGAGACTCTTTGTGGGATCCCTTTGTTTTGGCTAAGAAATTAATGGTGGCTGGTTGGGAGGTACCAAGGACTGCCCAGAAGGCCCAAAACAGCCTGAGAGAGCCACAGATGACCTTAAGCTTGAGGGTCCCCATAGTCCCTCGAGTTGCAGGGCCTTCTCCTGCCGCAGATGCTGCCCTGCCCCTGTCCTTCTCATGGCCCCTGGCCTGCTCACCTGTGTGGCTCATGGCTCATCCGCCAGCAAGGCCGCCTTTGCCCCTGATTGTACTGCGCCAGAAGTGTCTTCCAGATACTTCCTAATATGTTAGTACAGTTCCTGTTCTTGTCTTCTACTGGTTGAAGAGCACAGTTTGGTTCTGGGCCTCGTACCCAGTATCTCTTTATCTTCTCCGAGAAGACTGAGCTTTCCATCCCACTGCTGACAAAGGCCACGCAGTGATACTCGCCCCCTCCAGGAAGTCCTGCCTTTTGGATATCCACAGGGAGTGACCCCCGCAGACTCTAGCTATTTTCAAGGCTTTCTGCCAAAATCTCACCAAGCCAATAAGCCTTTGACCCTGTTAACCTTCTTTGTGTGCTCTTTCCCCCAATTCTAACTGAATGTTTAGTTTTCTAGGCATTGAGCCAACTTAGGCAACAGGGGGCTTGAATAAATTCAACAGGGAAAGCATCTTGTTCTTGACACACTGCCACATACCAGTATGGTCCCTGCATTTTTCACTTAGGATTTCGGTCAGTTGAGAAATAAGGCATTTTGTCTTGTAGATCAGGCATTTACCCATAGATTTCTAAATTTAAACATTTGGTTCCAGAGAAGGAGACTGTGCATCACCTGTGTTGCTTGAAGGAGGGCAGAGAGGGTACATTTTGTGCCATAGCCGTGGAGAGAGTGAGCCCCAAGAGCTCTTTGGCTGTCTCCAGTGTGGGTAGCAGAATAGCTCCCAACTGAGAGGTTTGAATTCCACCTGCGGGGTTAAGCTGTGCCTTACAAGTCACTTAGCTTCTCACTTTTTCTATAAAATGGGGGTAAAATTCTTCTTATTAAATGAGGTAATGAAACCTAAATGGAATAATGGAGAATTTTTAAATTGTGTTGTGCAATGTAAGTAATAGCTGTGCTTTTCTGTAGTAGAGTGTAAGTTACAGAGTAGGATGATATGTTACCTCAGTCCTTTTGATCCTCAAATCACTAGGAAGTAGGTTGGAAGTGCTTGAAAGATTATGCAAGGGAACTGAGGTACAGGTGGTCATTGTCCGAGGTCACACACCCACTAAGAGATCTGGGACTCAGTGCCATGTTATCAGGCTCCTTGTCATATTCCTTCTACAACAGGCCACTCTCCTTTTCTGGGATTATGGTATTAGGGAGGAGGTAAGGCAGTGACCCATAGGGTCTGGTATAGCTGGGAATTAAGCCCAAAACTTGGTCTTAGAAAACTCATCAGTTATAATCCTAGAAGAACTCTGGCTGTTTATCCTAGTGAACAGGGCCTCACAGTGTATCAGGAACTTCTGTTTTGCTCACACACACCACATGCGTGCACACACGCACCCCTTCTGCCCACTTTGAAACAAGTAGGACCATGTTTTCAAGGGTATATCTCAGGTTTAGTGCCCTGCTTTACCTTCCTTATAAAATAGGTAGAAGGAATATTGTTTCATTTTCAACTTAAACACTCTTTGTGGGTTTGTTTTACATATCTGACATAAGATCGAGTTGCCTCTAAGAATTCGAAATTCAGTATTCTGATGTCTGAAGCTATAAGAAAAAAGTAATCCATATAAAATATGTATAATAGTTGATTTACATATTTACTGGTTGATTTACATATTCTGCCACAATACCAGTGTACTCTTAATACTGATAGCAGAAATTCCAACAAAAGCATTTTTAAATAGGCTTTTAATAATGAAAGTAAAGACATAACTAAACTTCACAGAATACATGATCATTTGTGTGTGGTTTTTTTCTCCCATCACTCTTCTCCTTGCCCGGTGCACCACCTGTTCTTCCTGATTTCATGAGAAGAAAACGCTGAGCCAGACCTAGATGACAATGACGATGAGGAGGAGCCTCCTGTGGAAATTGAACCCGAGCCAGAGCCTCAGCCCGTGACCCCAGCCCCACCACCAGCCAAGAAGCGAAGAGGACGCCCCCCTGGCAGAACCAACCAGCCTAAACAGACCCAGCGTAAGTTACTTGCCTCAGCTCCATGGGCTGGCGTCCTGTCCTAGCAGTGTGGGAACCAGACGGGTCCTTGTTTTTCTGGGGAGATGGGAACTAAGCCACAAGAACAAGTTAAGGTCATGCCAGGAACCAAACTCTCAGGAAGCAATTTCTGAATTTTTATGGAGGAACATCTGAGAAAGTCTGTTATGTTTCAACAAGAGAAAGTCCAGAGTAGAAGGGTACTTACATTCTACAAGATGGGAGCTGTTAATGTGGGAGGTTTTACAGAATAACCAAAGTCACAGGCATCTGGCAGAATTGATATGGTCATGAATGTAACAGAGCCAAATTTTAAAGGTAGAATGGAAAAGCAATTTCTGTGCTGAGATTATCCCTGCTAAGAAACACAGGCCTAGGGATTCACTGCTGACCTTGTAGCTCATGCAGGACCCAGAGGGAGGTGTTCACCCTCACCCTCCACCGCACACCACGTAGGACCCCAGGCAGCAGTCCTCTGCTGGACGTGGCCTTTGTGACAGCAGGCTCTGGGGACTCAGGCCTCTCTCTCCCCTACTTCCTCTGCATCTCCTGAAAGCTGGAGGGGTTCTTCTGTTTTGTTTTCTTTCCTTTAACAGATTCTGGGTTTAATGCAGTCCCTTAGCCCCGTGTATATGGGTGATGGTGTCTATCACAGAGGGAGAGGGGTGGTTAGCTACAGATCCTGGGAACCATTCCACCTACACACATGGAGTGAAAAAACTGGTGGGAGGGCCCTGGGTGTGGGAGAGCTTTAGAATCAATGTCAGGTTCATTCTTGCTATTTAGGTGGGTCACCTCTGAAATGGACTTAGGCCACACACTCTGTAGTATTCTTAGTCACACGTCTCCATCTTTTGCCTGTTTCACTACTATAAAACCCAACCAGCTGTTCTTCCTGACTGATTTTCCTTTTTGACATAAAGGAAAATTAAGGCTTTTATTTTGTAATCTGGAAGGCATATGAAAATGAGTGTTGGCATTTTGTTCTTTGATAGTTTCTAGAGTACTGGGGGCTTTAAGTATGGTCACTTTTTTATAATTGATTTTCTCTGCATGTATCACTACTACAGTGATACAATATAGGTTGTATATTGCTGACATCCATTTAGTGTCAAGTCTGAAAGGACCCTTGCAGTCCTCAGGGACTTTAATGGAGCATTTGTTTTATTTCATGCCCTTTTCCAGCAACAGCCATCATTCAGGTTGAAGACCAGAATACAGGTGCAATTGAGAACATTATAGTTGAAGTCAAAAAAGAGCCAGACGCAGAACCCACGGAGGGGGAGGAGGAGGAGGCCCAGCCAGCTGCCACAGATGCCCCCAATGGAGACCTCACGCCCGAGATGATCCTCAGCATGATGGACCGGTGATGGCAGGGCCATGCTCATGGCCAGGACTGCTCTGGGCTGTGTTTAAACGGCCTGCATCTTAATTTTTCTCCCTTCTCTCTTTTGGCTTTGGGAAAAGCATCATTTTACACCATTTTACCAAACATACTGAGAACTAAAACTTCAAGGATGATGTTAGAAAATGTGATTAACTAGAACTTGCTGTTTGATGTTAGCAAATCATGGAATGTTCTGAGTCCTGAGGGTTTACTGTGAAATGTTGAGGAGATTGTTGACACCTGATTGTGTTTCTTAGATGGCAACAGAGACATCGAGCCCTCTCTCTTGCTTGGTAAACCACTCCAGAATGGCCACCGGATTTCCCAGAGTTCTATGGTCTTCTTCCCAGGAGAGTTTTTAATTGTAAATTCAGATGTGGGAAGGACTTAGACTTTTAAAACTGGTTTTTGCTTTTGCTTTTCCCTGACTCCCTTTGCTCGGAGTCAGCTGCACACCAGTAGTATGGCATGCTACGATCGTTTTCTGTCCCGAAGGCTTTGCCTCTTTCTTGGCAAAGCTTCTGGTATGGTCAAGCTTGTAAATAACTTTTTTTACATTTTAATCTTTTCCATTAATTAAGAGGTTGGAAAGAAGTGCAGTGTAAGAAAACCCAGCATTTTAATTACTTGCAAATTAAGTTACCACAGACTCTGTAGTATGTAAATGTTGAGAAGGAATTGGATCACAATCATGTAGCAGAACGGCACCCAGACTGCTGCCTGCTAGTGACGGATGCCCATGTGGAAGATCATGACATCCAGCCCGTGGAGCCAGCATTTGAACCTTGTACAATTAACTTTCAGTTATAATTTTCCATCTACATTTTCTTTGCTCTGTTTGTAGCTGAATTTTGTGTTTTCTAAGTCCATTGTTAAAGCAGAAGGTGATTATGAGTGGGTCACAGCAGCCCTTAAAAGTTGGGCCATAAAATTTCAGTAGGTCAGTAATTTAAACTTTGGATCTTCAAAAAAATAATAATGTGAAGCAAAACCAACTAAAAAATGATTCTTGCACATGAGCTGTCACATGTTTAAAATGTGTTTTTTAGAGAGCCTCAGTCTTGCTGATTTCAAACACTTTTTTCTTCTGTGTATTGCTTTTAAAAGAGCCATCAGTTAGCTATCAGACTCTAGGTTGATACATTTTGTACTTAGCTGTACTGTGTGATATTTTTCATTATTTTAGGACGCCAACATGAGACCTGTAATAAAATATGTAATGGGGTTGAAAGCTGGGGAGGAGGATCTACTGCTGTACAGCTAATAAATCATAATGGATTAACAAGTGCTCCAAACACCCTGTCTTGTGTGATTCCTGCCTAAGGGGCGCCCAGAGGGGTCTGCACTGCTAGCCTTAGGCAGTGCAGGCCTCCTTGCCTTTCTGAGGCAAACTGTTCTCTGGGATTTTCCTCTCTAGCAGATAGGAGATGATCTTGGCAGATGATGTGATACTGAGTGCATCCTGCTGTAGGCTTTAACTCCCTGAAAGTGTGTGTGAATAGAGAGGTGAGTGGATGCCAGCTGCCAGCCTCCGTGATCCACCTTAGGGGTAGGTTCCCCAAGACAGAGGGATGGGCCGCAGAGGTCAGAATGGAGGGTGCTGACAGGAAGCTGTCCTCAGGATCTCCACCCGAGGAAGGCTGGGATCAGTGCCTCAAGCTCTGCCCAGTGCAGAGGAACAGAAAGAAACAGCCCAGTCTGCCCTGAAGTTTTTTTGAGAGGGGAGACAGATGAACAGTCATTAGACTGTGGAAAGATTCCTGGATAGCACAGCTCGTGCACCACAGGAAGCAGGATGGGAAGGGAACGGTATCAGGAAGATTAGCATTAATCAAAGGTCATTCTTACTGCTAATGGCCATTTCTGGGCAGATTGCTTTGACAAACCCTTTTTAGCCAGAATTTCTGTGAGAAGAAAGGACAGGTGTCAGTTAGTCTTTGGCAGACTTCTGCTGTCCATGCAGTCAAGTATCCCAGGAAAGCAGTCACCATCTGGGGCCTCAAAACTGAACCAGGTAGTCAACTTTTTGGACTGAATGTTAGTGGCCTGAGGCTGCAGAGCACTTGGTCTCTATCCCACAGTGGGCTAACCCCCCTATCCCCACCGCCAGGGGCCAGAGTACCACCTGCTAGAATTGTTTTGGTGGCCACATAAATTTTTTAAAGGTGTTTGTAATAGTCTTTGCAGAACAGTGAGGCATTTATCTGTATCTTCAACATGGCTTTTCATTTCTCATTGTATTCTTTCAAATTGAAAGCTTAAAAGGACTTGTTTTGAATGGGGAAGGGAGCAAGAAAAGTGACATTCTGATGATGGAGTCAACAGCTGAAAGGGATTTCCCCATGGCATAGCCTATGCTACATCCTGTGGGACTCCTTCAAATAAGACCCTCAGCAGCAGAAGCCAATTCTCATTACTGGTCCACACCAGAGTACTTTGGGTGGGGAAGTTCCTGAGCTGTCTGCAGCGCTCTTCCCCACTGTTAAGCCATGGTGGGTACTGGAATAAGATCATCTGTTCCCTTTCCATACCTGGGCTGGCATCACCCCTTCCACTGCTGCTCAGTTCAGCAAGCACCTGAGCCCTCTTGCTTTTGGTGAGGATCTCATCCTTTAGGCCTGATGGGATCCTTGTAGCAGCACAGGGAGGTGCAGCCTGGCCCCATCACCCTGTGCTGCTGGAGTGGGCAGGGCTTACTCCTCATTAGAGCTTTAAACATTTCCTAAGCGCCCACGGAGTGTCATGCTGTCTAGAACAGAGACAAGCTGAAGGCTTCTCCCTCACTGAGTCACTGTCACTGGTAGGATCTGACATTCCATATGTTTACTTGGTCTCCAATAGTACTGTTGGTTTTGTCACTGCCTCCCTGACCACCAGCAGTATGGAGGTAAGTGGCTAGCCAGGCATCCTAGCCACATCTCTGTGCTGATCCCGGTTTCCCCTCCGCAACCCCCTGCCTGCCACACAGCACTCCCCAGACATGGACTGACGTTCCCTCCAACAAGCCCTATGACAGTCACTCCCTTTGTATTTCTCCTTGTTATTCTAAACAGAAAAATCCCAATGAGGTAGGTTTTCCATTCTGTTTAGGACTCCTAGGGTTGCATAGACTTGGCAAAAGTGAGTGTTCACCAAGTGCCCAGCACTGCTGTGGGCACTTTTTTTAAATTAAGGTATCACTGATAAACATTCATATAAAGGTTTCACATGCAAAACTGTGGTTATTACAGTCACCCATATTATCAAGTCCCCCCCACAACCTACTGTAGTCACTGTCCATCAGTGTAGTAAGATGCCAGAGTCACTATTGTCTTCTCTGTGCTACACTGTCTTCCCCATGATCCCCCCCACACCATGTATGCCTATCATAATACCCCTCAATCCTCTTCTCCCTCCCTCCGACCTGCCCTCCCCACCCCTCCCCTTTGGTAACCCTTAGTCCCTTCTTGGAGTCTGAGTCTGCTGCTGTTTTGTTCCTTCAGTTTTGCCTCATTGTTATACTCCACAAATGAGGGAAATCACTTGCTATTTGTCTTTCTCTGCCTGGCTTATTTCACTGAGCATAATACCCTCTATGTGAGCACTTTCCTTAATATACAAAGCAACACTTTAAGGTAAGTTAATAGCACCAGTTTACAAAGCAGGAATAGAAGCCCAGAAAGGTTAAGTAACTTAGTGTCAGACAGCTGGTGAGAGGAGGAGTCAGGACTTAGGCAGTCTGCCTTGAGAACCTACATTCTTCACCACTTGGCCATGCTGTAAGTATGAGAGACCTGTTGGGTTCTCCGGTTCTCCCCACTAAGCAGTTTGTGGGTTCTATGTGGTCTTAGACTCCTAGATTTAAACTTGAACCCCCCTTTCAAACTGAGAGGCAGCAGTTGGAAAGGACTCGTGCTTCAGACTGCAGGAACTCGGGGTACCTCCAGCTGAGTAGTTCCCTGTCAGGCCTTGGCTATCACCCCTTGGGCCTGTTGCTTGAGGGGAGATGTCTTTCCCCAAGTTGCTATTACCCAGTTTTTACTTGCCTCAGTTTTTACCCAGTTTTTACTCTGTCTCAGTGGGGGACCTCCACAAGAGATTTTTTTGGGGGGTGGGGTGACCAGATGACTGGGGGATGCCTTCGCTGTCTTCAAGTCCCAAGAGGAGGAGGGGTAGCTAGAGATATGAAAGAAACACAGGCTCAGCCCAGGATCTCTCACTTACTCTGAGTTATTTCACCTCTGCCGGCTCAGCTGTGGGCAGGGCAGAGGACTGTTGCTGATCTCATAAGTGGAGTTTAGATTTTAATGGAAGAGAAAATGTAATTCCCCCACTTTGCACACCCCAGAATCTAGGTCCTGGGGCTTTTATAGAGAGCCTGCTTCTGGCCAATAACCTTCTGATACTTCCCAGCCCTGGTGACACTAGCTTCCCTCTCCCCAAACTCCAGCTCCAGAATGCAGACACTGGAGAGGCCCCCCCGTGTACCAGGCCTTTGCTCCTGTGTCACTCAGCCCCTCCCTGAAGCCCTTGGGGCTTGGGCCTTAGCCAAAGGCTTCCCCACCTCCAACCTTGACCCAGCCTGAAACTGATGAAAGCTGAGGACACTCCACTGTAGAAAAGGGCGTCTGTGCCCATCTAGCATATTTTCAGCCCATTCAAATGTTGGTGGACTTCCCAGGGGATCATCCACTCCAGGTAAGAAGCAACAGCTAAGAAGCCGGTCCTCCCGGCTAGGCTCCGGGTGTTGGGAGAAATTTGACGTTCCTTGCTGATCAGTTGCTCCTTCTGTTGGGCCCCATGTCCCTCTCCCCAGCTGGGCCTTGCAAGGGACCAACAAGAATGGGCCGCAGGGATCCCCAGGCGGGTAGCGCCCCCTGGTGCTTACAGCAGGGACTGCGGTGCGGGGGTGAAAGTAGGGGTATAATAACCTCAAGAGGCAAGCAACAGGCCCGACCCTCTCGGCCACACCACTCCCTACCCCGTGTCCGCTCTGACGGAGGAGCTCCTGAGCAACCGGGAGGGCAGCTGGGACTCTGCCCGCCTCCTACCTCTCCCGACCCGCGGAGGCCCGGGCGGGGAGGAGCCGGGCCGGGGGCGCCCTGGCAGGAAGCAGCGCGTACCTTCCGCTGCAGAAGGAGCAGGTGGCTGCAGTGCGGGCCAGGGCCCCAGGTTTCCTGTGTGTGTGACCGCTAGTTAGTGTCTCTCGTCGGAGCTCCTTGGGACCCCGGCCACCCGTCCCAGCCCATGGCCCAGGCCCCCGACGGCATATCCTGTGAGCTTCGAGGTAAGCACAGGCCTTTCCTGCCTACTCGTCTGGGAGGAAGTGGCGTGACCCCAAAGAGAGGCCCACCCAGCACCCAGGGATGCCGGGCAGGCGGTTCTCTAGGCTTCTCCGCAAGGCTTGGTGCCCCCAGATCCACTCCACTCCTTCCTTGCCAGCCCATAGATGAACCCAAGCCCCTAGCCTGGTACAGATCATGGGCATGAGTTGACCTCCGTGGGAGGACCAAATTCACCTACCAGGCTGCCCTTCAACAGGAGAAATCATCAAGTTCCTGTGGCCCAAGGAGGCAGAGCTGCTGCTGAAAACCTGGCTACCAGAGCGGGAGGGTGCCGAGAGAGGTCATGTCCTGGTATGGCAGGGGCAGAGCCGGAGGGCCACTGGGGCCCAGCCAGAACAAGCCCCTTGCCCTGCACAGGGTGTCAGACACTCTCTCCCCCCAGGCACTGCTGCGATGGAGAGCCTATCTGCTCCACACCTGCCTCCCCCTAAGGGTGAGTGCCAGGGCCTGGCTGCCGCCGCCTCCCTTGCCCTCCAGGAGCTCCCTCGAGGAGGGCTGCATCAGCAGAGTTGTCTGCCTTGTCCTTGTGGGCTCTGCCCTTCGAACAGCAACGGGCTCCCAGCAGCAGGCAGGACTGGAGTCTAGGCAGGTCTGGCTCTCCAGACTGCACAAAGGCCTAGGATCCCTGAAGGGTGGGGCTCAGGCCTTGGTCCCCACTGATTCAGGCCCTTCACAGGTGGACTGCACGTTCAGCTACCTGGAGGTCCAGGCCATGGTGCTGCAGGAGACACCCCCTCAGGTGAGATGTTTAGTTCCCCCACCAAGGCCTACAGCCTAGCCTTCACCTCCCCCTCCACCCATCCCCACACATGGAGCCCAGTCCAGGAGCCTGCCCTCCCCAGGTCACCTTTGAGCTAGAGTCCCTGCCTGTCTTGGTCCTGGAGTTTCCTGGTGTGGCTGCTCTGGAACAGCTGGCCCAGCACATCGCTGCAGCCATCAAGAAGATCTTCCCTGGCTCGACCCTTGGGTGA